TATATATATATATATACATATATATATATATACTACACACACACACACACACACACACACACACTGGAGAGGACAAGAGACAGACAGATTCATGTACAATGTAGACGTAACAGACTATCGAGTGTAGGTGTATCAACTGGTTATTTTAAAGTAAGCTTATAAACGTAAGAGAAACACTTAAAAATCTAACAATGAAATCTACCTATGCACAGCAGAAGTAATAAATGAATAGCTATAAGGCTGAGGAATTTTGGGAAAAAGCTAATTCTCTATTCACACTATGACAGAAGTATACTTCTAGTATGAGCAAGCCTTTTTGTTTTCCACTTTCCTCACAACTGATAAAGTCAAAGTTCCGATCACTCTAAACTATGTAGTTTGGTCACTACCTATCCACACACGCACACTGCTAATGGTGTATAACAGGAAACGTTGTTTTCTTTCTCTATTGTAGGTTATATATATATATAAATTACAGGAACGTTTCGAAACCTAATTGTCATTAACGGACAGGCTTGTTTTTGTTTGCTCGAAACTTCGCCAAGTAAATAAATTACCACCATAGTTTTTAAAAGGTGATTTTTCTCTAAAAACCTAGTTTCTATAATTTATAACCTTCGCATTTTTCTACTTATATATATATATAGTTGCCTATAGAACTGAGACTTTAAAACACGGTAAGGCCTTCTAAAAAATGTTCAACACCCAAAATGTATTAGACGATGCATGTCATATGTAGTATTATCTAGCAAGAACTCACCAGATAAAGTAAAATTCAAGTGTTGAGAATAATACAAATATGAAACTCATTTTAACTGTAAACGTACTGTAAAGAATTGCTTATGAAAAAAAAAGGTTTAATACATTGAGTAACCCTGTACACTGATATGAAAATCACAGTACAGATCTTATATAAAAGATTTTGGGAAATAATTAATTACAATTCATATTTGGGATAATCTGTAATTTTCACACTGGGTATGTATTATTAACGTTAGCACATATTTATAAATGAGTGTTGTTGTTTAAAGGAAAGATCTGGAAATTAGGTCAAATAATAATAAAAAATTTAATGAAAGGCGGTTGGTAAGCATTTTGTACTAAGGGAGAAGTGGTTAAGTTTGGTTTGTTTTGAATTTCGCACAAAGCTACACGAGGGTTATCAGCGCTAGCCGTCCCTAATTTAGCAGTGTAAGACTGGAGTCATCACCACCCACCGCTACTCTTTTACCAACGAATAGTAGGATTAACCGTAACATTATAACGCCCCCACGACTGAAAGGGCAAGCATGTTTGGTGGGAGGGGGATTTGAACCCGCGACTCGCAGATTGCAAGTCGAGCTCCCTAACCACCTGGCCACGGTTGGGTTAAGAGAGATTCACTCTTGCATGCCATAAAAACGTGATGGACGTGTTTGCATATCATTACACATCAAGTAAATATAGTAATAGTTAAAAAACAATAAAATGTCCTCTACTTGATGTTTTGTTCAAGGCTCTAAAGGCCAGTGTTCAGTATATATTAATAATGTTCAAAATGCCTGGCTTTCATTTATTAATGTGAATGTGGTGTTGATATTTTTCCCAATAAAGTACTAAGTTATGGTTCAGCTTGTTATACCTGTAAAGTAAGTTCGTGGCGTGTATCAGAAGTTTCTCATCTTTGTATCTATTTTGATTAAAAAACACACACATTAAGAAACAGATATCACAAAAACAAATCCAAATTTAATGTAATGCGCTACCTCTATTATGCAAATACACTTTACAATATTGCCCAACAGGATTCAAATAGCACCAAATTCGCTTTTCTCCTAAGAATACATTTGACAGTGAATCTGTATTCTTCAGAATTTTACCTTAAATATCTCCTTAATTAATCAACTTGAACTTCACCATGGTGATTTCAATGATTATGTGATACGCCCACCTTGATCAGCGGTGTTAAGTTTCAGTTATCTTTTCTTTACTAACCTAGATATAGAAGTATTACTGCAAGGTGTCAAATGCATGTCTGTGCAACTGTGGTTTAGTACAAAAAACGAAAAAATGGTATTAAGATAAAAATACATGTAATTAGTGTTCACAAGCTTCTAACAATTACTACGTGTCTGAAAAACATTCACCTACGCCCAATATCCAGACATGATTTAATCGAAAACAAATCATGTGTATAATTGACTCTGAGTTTGACATAGCGAACAAAGTACGAAGTTTGTGTTTACTGTTAGACAAAATACTAAAACCGTATCAACTTCAGGTTTCAAAATCATTATAACGTATACAAGTGTATATTTACCAACAAAAAATGGTGAATAAAAACATTAAACACTGCGTACATTACAACTCGTAGATAATGTAACTAATCTATAAACTATGGTGGCATGTAATATAGTAAACACTGGACTGTGACATTAAAACAGCCTATAAACTATGGTGGCATGTAATATAGTAAACACTGGATCTGTGACATTAAAACAGCCTATAAACTATGGTGGCATGTAATATAGTAAACACTGGACCTGTGACATTAAAACAGCCTGTAAACTATGGTGGCATGTAATATAGTAAACTCTGGATCTGTGACATTAAAACAGCCACAGTGCTTTAAAAAACCTGTTCTCAACAAAGCACAATTACTGAGATAATAATGTGTTTTTAAATATTATTATTACTGGAACAAAATCCCGCAACCAAAATAACAACAAAGAGCTTATTTTTCTTCGTCAATCTAACGTCAGAACAATCCTTTTGTTGATAAATTATTTCGCCCCCTAGTGGCACAGCGGCATGTCTGCGGACTTATAACGCTGGAAACCGAGTTTCGATACCCGTAATGGGCAGAGCACAGATAGCCCATTAGATATCTTTGTGCTTAAATTCAAAGAAACAAACAAAAACAATTATTTCTTTACTTAACATTCATATATATTCAAAGTACTCCTTATGCTAAGATAATATATTTCCGCCATCTAAGCTTTTATTTTTGCTGAAATTACCTGTGCCATCAAAATCCGCTGTTCAGTTAATCAAGAACAAATCACTCTTGATAAGCGAAACTGTCTTCAAAACAGTTATTTTGATAAGAAGTCAATAATATTGTAAAATAACTTGCGGTTTTAGACAGCTCATTACTGAAATTCTATCACAGCTAATAAAAGATATCTTCAAAGATGTTGGCCTTAATTAACAATTTAATGGCGACATTATGGAACGTCGATAAGGGAGGTTCTGTTGGCTGATCATACATGTCGGTATTATGGGATAGTTTTGCACAGTTTTGTAAACAGGATCGGCTTTCAAGACCTATTGTAACTCACTGAGATACACTGACCTAACACGTTAGAAAAGTTGGTGTGAACAAAGCACATCCAAGAGAAAACATCTATTTGTACTCTGTATAAGCAGACGGATAACACCCACGATAAAGATATGCGTTTCCTTTACGGTAATTTTGGCAAACACCTACAATAACAGCAAACTACTTTTCTGTGATGATAACGTTGATGTGAATATTTAAGCGCAACTACGACAAGGTTTCCTTCTGTTCCTTCTATAGAAACTTCGGTGTACAACTCTAAGCCTAATTACGGTAAATATATCTCCTGTAGAAACTTTGTTATGCAACTCTAAGTCTAATTATGGTAAAGATTCCTCCTGTGGTAACGCTGATGATTCATGACTAGCCACACCTACTTTTTTAAACAAACTGACATTATTTTACGTAACTACTCAACTAGCAACCATGGTGACGAGATATTTTACGACACTGGCTATGCGAATCATTACTACTATTACTATTATTTTACGTAACTACTCAACTAGCAACCATGGTGACGAGATATTTTACGACACTGGCTATGCGAATCATTACTACTATTACTATTATTTTACGTAACTACTCAACTAGCAACCATGGTGACGAGATATTTTACGACATTGGCTTTGCGAATCATTACTACTATCGTTACGTTATACCTTCCTTACATTATTCAATAGCAGTCAACTGTTGGCGTAACATATACTGATTCAAATGTCGATACGTTTGAAAAAATTAATGCTTTTTAAGCAATTGGTTCAATATATTCTAAATACTAGTAACATGTCATTATCATTCTATGGTGTCATTGCGTTCATTCCAATGTTATGTATAACATTTATTTTATTCGATTCGCAATCATTCTGATTCATAATCAATGAAAGCTTACGAAAACATGAATAATACATTTTTACTGCAACACAAAAAATAATTAGCGACCTTTACATTTTACTATACATTAAACAAACTCGTTAAAGCTACAACTTAAAATTCTTACTTTATCTTACAACTGATTAATAGGTAAAGGTGTGTTTTCCGTGACTTAACAACATGACCCGAGTAAAGATCACCGAATGTTGACTCTTAACAAAGGTTTCTTTACTCTTACTTTTAGGATGATTCAAATTTCAAAGCAAACATAGTAGAGAGGAGATGGAGGAGAGGTTATGAATCAAAGTTCATTTCCTACTACAATGATAAACTACTTATATTTCTGAAATAAAAACCATGTATATATTCACTATTTTATCGATTATTCAATGTGTTTTTCTACACGGTACACAGAAAGTGGTTACACTAGTCGTGCCGGTGCAAGCCAATCAGCATATAGTGCTTTTACGCGAGTCACTCTAAAGTTCTTGAGACAGTAAAGGTCTTGATTTGAACTTCTGATATCCTACTTCGCTCAAGAACTGAATAGTTGGTTGTTGACTTTTCAACTATACTGTCACGTTCTAAGTGTACACCCCACTTATCAAGGAGTGAGAAACGCTCACACAAATTACTGTTTTGAGAGGTTTTCTAGGGCAACACAAGAAATTCGCAAACAAAAAGAAAAGTCTATCCCTAAAAGTTGGATCATTAATATTTAAATTACTGTACGAAATGTATGAAAATAGATATTTTCAAACACTTTTGTAATCTTAAACTATCAGACACCTAAACATTTATAATAAATCTAAATTTAATAAACTGAAACAAAAATTCTGGTATTCAAAAAGCTATTACACATGAGATGTGCATGAGAAGGAACACTAATAACACAGGCCTGCGATGGTTTTATTGTCTTGATATTTTTACATGTTCTACAGTCATTCCTGTACGCTGAATCTGAAAATGATAATCATTTTTCTCCATTACGTACACATTTTTCACAAAACGTCATAATGCAATACATAAAAGAAGGTCCACAACACGTATTTTTGAGACTAAAAGACGTAGACTTCACAAAAAAAATCAGGATGAATGAGGATGCACATTTGTTTGACATCAATGTTCTTCCCTTTTCTTCAGTTTGTTTGTATTTTTTGTTTACAAATATAATTATAAAAAATGTTCATTGTGGTAAACGAAATAATAATTTGATCTAAGTAAGTTTTTTTAAATTTCTGATTTGTAAAAAAATCCTCATGTGATAGAAAAAAAATGAATATTATTTTCGAAATGTGTGTAGATGAATTATGGAAAATCCGTTATTAAAACCAAAACAACTTTCATGAAGTTTAAATTCACCGGCTTGTGTTATTTTTAATTCTTCCTCAGAGTATAACATATACAATAATAAAATGTAGACTGTAATGAGTAAATACAATATTTAAAGATGTTTTACAAGTTTTTGGAAGTACAAAGCAACTGAACAACACTAAATTCCACACACATGACAATTTTTTAGGACATTTATTTCACCTTGTAATATAACAAGGTGAAAGAGTTGTAAAACTTTTTCTTGATAAAACTGTGGCTGTAATTTGTATAACGTTCAAAATAGTCTTAAGAACTTTGTAAATACAGTGAAAATTTTACATTAGTCATAATATATTCATACACAAATGTATTATTTCAGCTCCTTTTTAATTGGTATGCTCTTTTAGCCTTGGAACAATCTATTAATCATCCATAATCTTTCCTAGCACTAGAAGAACAACTTTACCTGCGGTAATTCAGAATAACACTTCATCTCCTTCTTAACCTATATATTCTTTAAGCACTAGTAGAAATCCTTCTACTAAGTTCTTCCTCAGTACTGTATCAGTTATGTCTTTCCCCATGTGCTTTGTGTGCTAAAAGAACAGTTCCTTCCTCACTAGTACACTCTCAGCACTAACAGAGCATAGTGGTCTTTCAGCACTGTAATAGCTCCTTCTTTATCCATACAATCTTTCAGCACAAAAAATACTGCTTCCTTTTCACTCCAGTTTATTTTTCAGCACTTAGATAATATCTCTTCTTCACTGATATTGAAGTTAAGACTGAGAAAAATGTGGCTGTGAATCCATTTTACTTTTAAACTCTAGAATTTTACCTATAATATATCAAGAAAACCTCCAACTTTTCATTATTACAAAATTAGTATTAGTTGGAATAGTTTTAATTTTGACCTACAGGAACAGACAGCTCTTTTACTTTTAAGTGTAAGATTATTTAGCTCACAAGCAAACTTAGGAGACTTAAGACCAACTGCACTTCTTTCACATCCTATCCCAACAACAGCTAAAAAGTAGTACATGCTATTTTGTCCCAATTGAAAATTTTTTTAATGACTTACAAACTTTATGATAAAACTAGAAAAACTTTTTAAATCAACAGCTATGTATTTCCCAAAATGGAGAGAATGTTAGCACAGAATCCTTCAATGTCATAAGTTTCTTCTTTTGAATATATGTATAAATTATACATCACAAGTATTTTGGTTATTTATTTACTGATGTAATGAGAAAGTTGTTTCATTTGAATTAAATTATCTGTAATACATATCTCACCACAACATGTAATTTAAGCATTGAGCAACAAACCACATTTTAAAACCATACAACTACTGTAATGTTTAGATTATCAATGTATTAATGTACTAACTCTGTGGAAGGAAAACAAGTCACTTCATGAAGTGACATGTGAATCTACCAAAAAGTTTGTATTCAAGAAAGCTTGCATTAGATATTACTCCACAAATTAAGCCTTTTAATATAGCTTATTATTACATTAAAATATTAACCCACAAATTAAATTTCTAAATATAGCTTAACAGATAATTAAGTAGTTCTAATTGTTGAATGCACAGTTCAAATTTCTAAATATAATTCTGGTAACATATTATTGCCTTATGATAATAAGGTTCTACAAGTTAGTAAATTAATTAAATCAAGTTAACACAGATTACCATATGCACAGATTAACCTTCTAAAAATAATTTTATGGCTAGCATGTTATCCCATTAATTATTTGACAGCAATGGAATTTTATATGTGGATACAGGAAGATTGCTTATAAAAACAAATAGTATTGTAAATGTTCTAAAACTGAAATGTTGAGCAAGTAGTAAAGCCTTTAAAACTAGATGAACACATACATAGCTTTCTTCACTTACTAACTAAACAGCTAGTGAAGTGAAATTCAATTAAACATTTTGGTTTTTGTGTGCTCATATCACTGAAATAGGCTCTAACTCTGTAAAAGATAGTTTAGACCATGAAATCTTCTTAAGCATTAGCATGTATATTATACATTTTTATTTTCAGTGAGCATGGGAATCACACATTCTACTCACAACTTACTCAGCGCTGACGGAATATCCAGATGAAATAATAACAGATATAAATACACCCAAGATGCCAAATGATGAAGATATAATCAGGTAAGATCATGGATTTTATTACATATAATATAGCTATCAGAAATAAAAAAAATAAAGTAAATTTCTTAGTACAGTTCAGTAATTGATATGAACATGATTGAGTTGAGCTGCTCAGAATAAGTGCTTAAAGTTTAATTGTAAATTTAAGACAGAATTTGCAAAGGTTTATAAGAACTGAGAAAGTGATAGGGATGTTTACTGGGAAAGAAAAGAATTAACAACTTGTTGCATAATTAATTTTTAAAATGCAAATACCAACTCACTGTTTTGAATTCTGTGTAATGTAAATATTATATTTTAAACCCCAATGCTTCTTTGAATGCCCCTGCAACACGCACCAATGATGTAGTCACATATACAAGTGCAATATTATTCAAAGATGGCCATTGAAGGCTAGTTTGTACTGCTTGTTTGAAAAAATGTCTCTTTTATGTTATACTTTAAAAGTATGTTACCTTGTAATTAATAAAAGTGTAACCTTGTACTGATAATAACTGAAGATAAATGTAGAAATCTGTTTCTACAAGTTTTGATGAAAAATTTACAATTTGATATTTCAAATATCAATGACTAGTATAACTTTCACTATTACTGCAAGTGAAGACAGTTGTAAAATTCTGTATTAATTCGTAAAGTTTTCTACAAGAATTCATCAGTAATTTTACTGAATACAAAGGAAAAATTAAAGATCGGAATGTAAAAAAAAAAATCAAAACTTTTAATTTCTGTAATCCTTATACTCGTCTTCCAACAGATAATAGTAAAAAAAAATCTTCATTAACAATACCAAGATCCTTTAACAATTCTGGTAAATGAATGCATTTAATTAATAACATAAAATATTTGTATGATAATATTGTTCTATGTTTTCTCAATACTGCAAAGTTTATTTATTCACCAGAACCAATTTTGGAAAAAAAAGTTATTTTGCCACAAAGAGTGCACATAACTTAAGCTTAGATAGAGGTATCATTAATCAAAAGTTTAATTAAAAAATTTTAATAACATAGAACCTTTCAATAGGAATTGCTTTATTTTTTGGAAAACATAATTTCATTATAAAGAACAAACACAATGCAATTATATGTAGCTTTTAATAAATGTTTCAAATCTTCAGAATTCCATTTTCAGTAAGCTAAAGATACAATTGTGTATTTTTGTCTTTAGCCAACTAAAGATGGAATTCTGAAAATTCAAAAACGATTATTAAATGTTCTTATAATTATGTTTATTTTATTCTTTGTAACAAAACATTATAATTTCAAAGTAATACATTTTCAGTGTCTTAATATACATAACAAATAATTTATGATACAATGTTTACTCCTAACCCCCCATTAGATAGAATTTGTTTAATGTTACAATATTTCATAGACAGAGCTTATAAACTGGCTCTTGTTTTTCAAAGAGAGATCTATCATGCTTTGAACACCAAATCTGTCTAGCTCTGTGGCAAATTCAATGTTATACTTGCTACTTCTTATGGGACTAAAAGTTTTACAGAATATCATGACCTTTTCAAAATTATGACTACATTTTTATTCCTTAACTTTTTATTTTCATATTTGTATTTAATGAGCACATTTAATACAATTTTCAGTGAAAGACTAGAGGGAAGGCAACTAGTCATCACTACCCACCACCAACTCTTGGGCTACTCTTTTACTAATGAATAGTGGGATTGCTCGTCACATTATAACATCACCTCATTAGTCATATTAGTATGTGGTTGCATTATTAGTTATTGTACTTTTCACTGTTGATATTATATTATTTATTAAGTCAACATATTTGTGTAATCATACGTGTATCGAAGCATATCTTATCTGTTTTGACTAGTTCTAAAGATTTGACTATTTATTTACTGTTTTCAGTTGCCTGCTCCCTAATTTAATCATGTATACATTGGAGTGTGTCTGATAACTTGTTCATAAATGGTACTCATAGCAAGTTCTGCTATTTATCATTATTATATTACTTTGGTTAATTTAATTACAGGATATATATTTTACAATTTATTGAACCAGCATTTTATTTTACTATCTATTGTAAGAACTGTTCATGATGTTAGAAAAACATGTAGGTTCAAGAAGTCTTAATAGAAATGAATAAAAAACCTATTACCCGAGAGCTTTTGAAAGGTGAACCTTTCTTCTTCAGGAGCAAACTGGCCATTATCAGTTTGCCCCTGAAGAAGAAAGGTCCACCTTTTGAAAGTGCTTGGGTTATATGGTTTTTATTCATTTCTATTGTAAAAACTAAATATTGCATGTTAAGTACTGATCGACAGCTAAACTTTCAACATTTTGCATGTTATTTGGATATCTTATAGATTAGAATTTAATTAAAAAATTGTTACTGTTATTAGTTTGTTACACTTTTCTTCAGGAATTACTTGATACAAAATGTTATGCTTGTAACAATACTTGTCAGTATAAAATGCTGTACATATCTTCATCATTTACAAAACTTAGAATATGTTATGCATGTTTTCAGTATTTACCAAAAGAAAGTAATATATTTGTCTTCAGTACTTTCAATACATTGTACAACTTTTTAAATGTGAAGAATAACTCCAATAAAGCAGATATTTACACATTTGGTAAATCATATTTATTTAGTGCAGACTTTCTAAGTTATTTAAGTACTCCTCCTTTTAAAAAGATAGTCTATTCAAGACATTCTGCACTTATCCCTTTAACATTAGGCTCTCTGAGGTATTCAGATTCTCCTATATTTGGAGAGTGTATTTAAAGTACTTTGGGTTTATTTTTAAGGATAAATAGTCTAAAAAATTTTGATAAAGCTTATCTTTAAGAGTAATCTATTCAAAGTTTCTAGATACTGCCTATTCAAGATATTCAGCTACTGCTGCTCTTAAGAATAGTCTAACTTAAAGTATTGTGATCCTGTTCATTTTAAAAAGTAATATATATAAACTATTATGATATGGCTTGTTTTCCAAAAAACTCTCTAAGGCTACACTTAATAATAATAATCTGTTTAAGGTAATGAACTTTTTTTCAAGAATAGGCTAAAAATTAAGTAGTACTTGAATGCAGTAAATATTTACCTAGTGTATTCTGGTTTTCTTCTTTTCAAAAACTAAGTTATTTAAGGTGTTTTGGTGCTACTTCTTTTACAGGCAAGACTATCTAACACTCTTATGAATACCTAATATTTTCAAGCACTGCTTTTTTTTTTACAGTTAGTAAATTTAAGGTTAAATGGTCATACATTGTTAAATAATGTTTTATTATGAGATTACAGTACTGTATTTGTTATCTTAGAATAAACTGTTTAAGTGTTCAGATACTCTTCATTTTAAGAATATCAATTTAAGATAATCCACTTTGGTCAATTTGAAGAATCATCTACCTAAATTCTTTTATGGATATGTTTAAGAACAGTTAACTTAAGATCAGATTAAAAGAAAGCCTATAAACAAAAAAAATAAATTTTATTAATAGTAATTCCAAGTATCAATATCGCTTGACTGGGCCACCATTGTTCTCACGCACAAGTTTTAATTGATTTGCAAAAGATTTCAGCA